GACCCGTGCGGGAGTTCGACGAAAATCTCAGCGTCGACGGGGGCGTAAAGGAAGGCGTTGGCGACGTCGATTTGTCGGAGCTTCTTCCGATTCATGGCAGCGATTGTGAGGAGAATCCGCAGTGAGGTATGTCGGCTTACTGGGGCGAATGTTTCCGTGAAGTCTCGCCCTTGCTCTTGGTCGAAGCCTCGCACAACCCAGCGTGCTTTGAACTTGTTGATTGTTCCGTCAGCTTTTGTTTTCACGCGGAAAACCCATTTTCCCGTCAGGACAGTTTTGTTGCATGCCACTTCGATAGGCACGACTTTCCAGGTGTTGCGTTCCTGCAGCGCCTTCAGTTCTTTGTCCATGGCTTCACGCCATTTTTCCCTGTGTTCCCCCCCCAGAGCCTGCTGAATTGTCGCAGGCTCCTTAGGTGGTTCCGCTCCGTGGACGGCGGTGACAAGTCCTAGTATCTGCAGGCCACTCTGTGTGTAGCGGGGGAGATTTGTGTCCTCTGGATAAGCTGCTTCGTCTCCTGCCTTGGGGTCTGGTAAGAAGTTTGGTCCTATGCGTTCGGAGATGTTGGTTTCGACGGGTTGGGGTGTAACGTAACCGGTGTCGGCGAAGTCGAAATATGTTTCGGCGTTGACACTTTCGCGAGGATTTTCGTCGTCCATCGGGATGGGAACGGAGCAGTATGGGAGTGGTCCTGCTTCTTCGGATGCGTTGTCCACGTTTTGCTCGTCCCAGTCAGCTTCGTCTGCTGCTGAAGCGAAGGCTTGGTTGCCACGGAAGCCGCCCGTGAGGTCTCGATTTGCTGTCAAGTTGTCCAGGTACGTTTGAAGTGTGAGTCGCTCGTAGAAGATGACATCACGTGCTGCCACTGTTTCCTTCGAGTGGACGTAAAAAATCTTCCATGCGTTGTAATGCTTTTCGATGCCTAGGTGTAGTCCCCACTGTGCGCGTTGAGAAAATCTTCCGGCCCTTGCAGTGTGCGGGCGGTACTGTACCATGCACCTGAAGACTCGTAACATTTTTGTGTTGCCCAACTTTCCTGTCCACAGCAGGTGCGGTGATGCGTTGTTCGGAAGTGACGACGACGAAAGCAAGTTGTGCAGCATGACAGCGTGGTCCATTGCCTCAGGCCACTGGTGATTGGGCAGTCGCATGCCACGCAGCAATTTGCGCATGGTGTTCTGGAGAGTTATGTTCATCCGTTCTGCCACGCCTTGCTGTTGATGGGCGTAGGGAAGTGAGATGAGTCGCTTGATGCCTCGTGTTGCGAGGTACTGCCTGAACCGCTGGGACTGATATTCCCCTCCTCCGTCAGACTGGAAGCTTTTCAGCTTTGCGCCCGATTCTCGTTCTGCCACAGGTAGCCAGGCGACGAAGGCTTCGAAGGCCATGTCGCGACTTGGAAGATTAAGGTGCCAGACGTAACGGGTGGCGGCGTCGATGAAAGTGATTACGTAATTATATGCGCCTTGTCCTTGTTCGCGAGTATACAGAATGTCGTTGTATACTTTCTCGAGTGGTGCATAAGCTGGCGCGCTTGGATTGTGGTGAGAGGCGAACGGTTGATGTGGTAAGTCGGCTTCGGGACATGTAAAGCATGTTCCGCGGACTCGTTGGAGTTCTCTGCCGTCGGGTAGAAGTAGTGAGTCTTTGTCGAGCACTGCTGCCTTGATTGTGTTGTTTAACGTGGTGTTGCTTGGATGACCTAGTCATTCGTGCCACAGGGACTCACTTGCCCAATGTCCAAGTGAGCGCCTATACAGGTCGGAGTTGGAGAAAAAAAACCGCGGTGAAATTGGCGCTTCTGTGAACTTCACGTGGAGTGGGAGCTAGCTGCTGCGCAGGAGTCGGTGGAGTGTCGTCGATGAGTGTTGGTGCCGTCGAAGAGCTTGCGAGTGGTGTTGTAAGTGTTGTTGGTGTTGCCGATGTTGTCTCTGCCGCTGTCGATGTTGTTTCTGCTGCTGTCGATGTTGTTTCTTCTTGTCGAATTTTTGCTAATGCCCGTGTTCTTTCTGCTTCATGTATGGTATGTGAATACCAGAACCCTCCAGGGCTGAAGTCGGGGTCGAGGTCCGGTGGGTGCATCCAAGAGGCGAAGTTGACGATGGCGTCGCTATCGGCGGTTCCTTGGTCTGGTACAATGTCGAGGACGAAGACGTTATTTTTCAAGACCGCTCTGCTGATGTAGAGTCCTCCTCTACCGTGGAAAAGCTTGAACTCCTGTGTGGTGCTGTTTGCTTCAAGATGGATCCCCTTCGCCATTAGTTGGCTGACGCTCAGTAAGTTGTAGCCAAGTCCTTCTGCAATCAGTACTTTAGACATTTGTAGGATGACGTTGGTTTCTCGGGATTGAAGTTGTACTACGCCTTGTCGTCGTGTGTGCAGTTTCTGGTTGTTGGCCACGGTGATGACGACTTCGCGTTGAAGTTGGTGTTCTTGTTGAACGAAGCGACTTGAGGAACACATGTGTTGTCCGCAGCAACTGTCCAAGAACCAGGTGTCTTGCCCGGACGGCTCGCTTTGGGCGATAGCTGCATACGTTGGATTGGGTTCCAGTGATTCGCGGCGAGGAGTCCTTTCATCGAGTTGGTCTTTTGGTGAGTAGTAAGGTGGTGATCCGGTGATGCAGGAATTCGTCGTTCTTGTCATGCAGCTAACGATGTTTCTTGTTCCTTGTGCAGATTGCGATGTTGAAGATGTTGAAGTTTGCACTTGACTGGTGGGATGCGCCTCCGTAGAAGTTACTTGACTGCTTGAAGGCCGAAGTTGACGTTGCGGTGTTGTTGACTGTTGCTGATTCGGGCAGTGTGTGCGCGGATGACCGGACGTCTTGCAAAGGTGACAAAACGGTGGGACGTATTGTTATACTTGTCGGTTGTTGTGTCGATTGTTGTTGTTGTTGTAGCGTCGTTGAGTGTGGAAGGCGAACTCCGGTGCTAATGCTTTCTTCTTGTGTCGTTCTTCGTGTAGGACCATATCTTGCTGTTCAGTGTGAATTTCGGTGCAAAGTGCTGCTTCGGAAATCTTCCCGTGAGCTCGAAGAAGTGCTCTAGTGGAGCGCCAATGAGGTCCAAGGCCGGCGATGATGACAGTTACAAATGCTTCTTCCGAGATTGATCCTCCACATCGAAGGAGTCTGTCGCGCAGTCCGCGACAACGGCTAATATAAGCCATTCTTTTTTCGCCGGGTTTCATTTCCACTGTTGTCAGCTGTGCCATGAGACGGCTCTGGTTGACGCTGTCTGTTGCTTGATACAGGTTCTTCAAATGGTCGTAAGCCAGTTCGGCGGAGTTGCCGTATCCTCGATAAGAACGAATGTTCTGTTGCTCGTTTGGCGTCAAGTTTCGAAGAAGTATTGTATACGCCATCAGCGACTGATAAGTGTATTGATGCTTGTCGTATTGTGTCCCGTGTGCTGGATATGGTAGGGACCCGTCGAAGAATCCGAGGATTTGCGCGCCCTCCATCATTAGTTCAAACTCGAAAGACCAGGTATAAAAATCCTTCCCGTCGAAAGGCGTTGATGTTTGTAATTTGAGAACGTGTGCGAATTGCGATTGCACCTGAAGCGCGTCCAGTGTCTTCTCTTGTCCATGTGAAGACTGCGGCTGCGGCGCGAAACTGACAGAGCCGCGTTGAGGCTCATACGGAGCAAAGGTAGGTTGTTGTTGATTTCCGCGCGCGTACGATGAACCATCAAGACTCATTGGTGTTGCTCTGTTGTTGTTGCTGTTGTTCGATTGCGCAGGAGCTGTTTGCTGATGTTGCTCGTAGAAGGACATGAAGGAGAAGAATTTCTCCATCATGTTTGGGTCGAAGCCTGCCGCTTGATTCCCGGGAGTTTCCGTTGACTCTGCAGCTGGTTTTGTGCCTTCTTCTGTCTGTAGGCCAGAGACTGGAGGTGGAGTAGGGGTGGTGCCGAGAGATCCGTTGGAGGAGCTCCTCTCCTTTTGTGTAGCCATGACTTGTATTATAAGAAGTTAAAAAGTCATCTTGTCCTGCCTTGCTCTGATACCACGTTGGGCTGAGAAAAACCCTTAGGAACTTTCAGGACTAAGATCGGGTGTTGACGTAGAGATGTAGTAGCGGAAGCATTCAATGAAGATTTGTCGTGAACCACCTTGTACTGGTGTGTGAGAACAAGATAAGTTGAATAATAGCAAAGAGATACAAGCCTTTTATATGATTACAAGGAATATGAAAAGTCCTACTTTAACTGTTTTGCTGTTGCGGTTTGATACAGTGCCGACTCGGGTAACTGCTCTGTAACGAGTCAGTTATATGTCCTTGCTGTCGCACTGTACGTTTCGTCAGGTCAAAGGTCGGAGACCTTTGACCTTCGCGCAACCTCCGACGGTTGCCTTGGTTGACTCGAGTGCTTCTTCGCTGTAGTCAGTTCCGTTTTGTGTCGAAGCTTCGATACGACAGAAGCGTTATAAATCACTTGTTTCCAACAGAAGGGTCGTCGTAACCAACCCACTGGTCACCCCTCACCGCATACATGCATGACGATGGGGTGTGGTGATAAGCTTTGTAACCTCCAGTGGTTACCATCTGATTGATCTCCTTGTAGAACAGAGTACCGGCTTCCTGTTGGTGGGGTGGAGAGGGAATATGCAGGCCAAGGGAAAGGATGATACCGTAAGAGAGCTTGTTGGAAGCTGCTTACTTGCTAAAAAAAATAAGAGGAATAAGTTACAATCTGAAAGTGCATGAGGAAGGAAGGCAAAGAGAAGAACAGAACAACACATAAGGCTGGCAAACATGTGAGAGAGAAAGGGAGAGAAGCATGATGCAGAGTAGAAACAGGAAAGGGGAGCTAACCTTACTGATGGACCCAGCCTGACCAGCACCAAGGGCCGCAGCTCCAACCCCAGTGCTGCTTCCCGGGGCTAAAGTCCAGGTTTTGCCGTAACCCGCCAAGCCTACCATGGCCTTGCTCCGGGCCAAGCCTCGAATCACCCAGGCGTCCATGGAAGCCCTGACGCTCAGCTTCGAGCTGCTATCCTCCAGAGCAGTGTGCATGCCAGTCGTTTTCTCCCACGAAGGCCCGTGGAAACCGTACGTCATAATATTGATTAAGTCCAGCGTTTTTGTTAAGCATCGGGACGTTGTAGGATTCAGCGATTCTCTTCTCGTCGGGAGCGACCGCCGCCGTGAGCAGCAGCTTGGGTTTTTTAGAGGAAGCGGCTTCGGATTCGATCGCCGCCCGGAAGTCCGTGAGCAGCGCAGAGAACGAGGCGGCCTTGCCACTCGGGAACTCCCAGTCGAGATCTAGACCGTCGAAGTTGTGCGCGCGGGCGAGGGCGATCGCGGATTGGATGAAAGCAGAGCGGGTGGCGGTGGAGGAGGCGGAGTTGCTGAAAACGGTGGTGCCGGCAGTGGCACCCCCGATGGAGAGGAGCGTCTTGACGGCGGGGTTGGCTCTCTTTAGGTCCGTGTTGAAGAGCTTATATAAACCCCCGTCGACTTCCACTGTTGCGTTGGAAGAGACGACCTGCGATGGGAGAGAGAGAGCGGAGGGATGGAATATTGGGTAGGGAAAGGGCTGAGACTGCTCAAGGAGGGTAAGAGATATCAGGGGGTATGAGTCTGAGATGGCAGGGGGAATGGAAGAGGAGTGTCGAAGCACCTGCAGCTGATGGCGCGGAGATGTGTGTTAATGGCAAGACAGTGCGGCGCAGTGCGGTAGCTACCTTGTATGTGGTGGGGTTGATGGAAGCAAAGGCGTAGAAGACATGCGTGAGCTTGGCGGCAGGGATGGCGGCCCTGCTCCCCCAGCTGCCGAAATACGCCATGCGCTTCAGCCCAGTAGAGGGGGTTGGGGAGCCGCTTGCGGGCGGAGGGGGGCCGGTAAAGGGTGGCGGGGAGCACTGGGATTTGCAGCCTTCGCCGCAGTAACGGTGGAGCCGCAAAAGTTCCACTTGCTGCAGCAGAGCTTGTTGGGGCAAAGCACCGTGGCGGAGCATGCTTGCTGCGCGCGCGCGCGCAGGGGGAGGTGCGCGAACAAGAGCAGCAGCAGCAGCGCTGCGAGCAGGAGGATTCCGAATCCTCCACGGAGGAGGAAGAGCCGGGGACGCGACGACGCCGGCAGGGGTAGTGTGATCGCCATGGCTGCCAGAGAGTGAGCGGGTTCGACTCAGGCTGGGTGTGTGGAATGGAAAAGACTCCCACGGCTGAAGCTGAGGTGAGTAAGGGGGGAGTTGCTAGCGGATGAGGAGCGAAAGGAGAGGGTGAGTTGGAATGGAGAGGCCGCTACGATACATAGTGTCTGATGGGGTGGAATGGAGTCGACTCAAAAGCCGTCGGATGCGCCATGCGCCATGCGCAGGAGGGCTGGCACGGGGCGGGGGACTGGCGGGGTCGACGAGTGGGGTCGACGGGGGACCTGGGAACTCGCGGGGGATGGTGTGGGCGCGGAGTATGCACGGGGAAGGAGCTCGCCATGATGCGCATGAGAGATGTGGCGCTATCGACTCGATTTCGGCCCGATCCCCGCAGTTCGCGGTGGGTGATCCAAAATCGCGGTCCGAATCTCGCTATCGACTACGGCTACTACGGCACCCGCTTGACCGACGCGGCAGGCGCTAGCTACAAGTGTTGCGACGTCTCAGAATCGACTTCAACGCGGTTACTAGCACCTGCCCGACTGACACAGCTAGCAAAGCCGCATCTGCGTGCGGTACGACGTAGCTAGTACTAGCTGAGGCACCTGCGCGTCTGACGCAGCTCAGCTAAATAGAAAACAATGCTGGTCCGTCTTTATCCATGTCGAGATTCGAGAAGCTACACACAGCACGAGTGCTGCTGTCTGTTGTGTTTTGGGGAAGACGAGGAAGGAAGTGCAAGGGAATGTCCAGTCCAGTCGAAATGATGTACAATAATGAATTTCTGTTCAGTCATTGCGGTTGAGAGCGTTTCTGTGAGAAACAGAATGGTGTGCTTATACGTGCAGCCATATTGTAATGTTCCATATTGGATAAATTGCAGAAAACAATTGTCTAGCTGGCTTTGTTAGCTTGTAGCTTGGTTTATATATACAATTGCAATCGCATTTATTCAAGCATACAGCTCGATAAGAACATTCACACATCCACCTTAAACTCCCTATCAGCTTGACTACACATCAAGCGAAATAACTAGTGGGATATTCCTTCTGTCGTCCTTCATCTCATGCAGCGGCTGCAGCATTAAGCAGAGAATTGTTGACATCCTGGCTCAGAGCCCAGAAGAACCACCCTCCGTAGCCTTGCGCCTTGGCAAACTGGACCTTGGTGGTGATGGTGGAAGGGTCGTCGTAACCAACCCACTGGTCACCATTTACCGCATACATAGAGGATGTTGGGGCGTCGAGCGTAGCTGTGTAACCTCCAGTTGTTACCAGCTCATCGATTTCCCTGTAAAAGAGAACACCAGCTTCCTGTTGGTGGGGTAGAGAGGGAATATGTAGGCCAAGGAAGAGGGTGATGAGAGCCTGCTTGGAGCTGATTCCTTAGACTCAGGGAAAAGGGAATAAGTTGCATTCTGAAAGTGCAAGAGGAAGGAAAAGGTGAAAGTGAAAAAAAAAAAAAGCCGCAAAAGGCTGTGATCATGTGAGAGAGGGAGAGAAGCATGCTGAGGAGAAGAAACAGGAAACGGAAGAGCTCACCTGACTGATAGACCCAGGCTGACCAGGCCCAGTGGCCGCAGCTCCAACCCCAGTACTGCTTGCCGAGGCTAGAGTCCAGGTTCGGCCGTACATTGCCAAGCCTAGCATGGCCTTGCTCGGGGCCAAGCCTCGGGACACCCAGGCAGCCATGGCACCCTTGAGGCTCAGCTGGGGGTTGCTCAGATCCTCCAGAGCAGTGTGCATGCCGGTGATTAACTCCCATGAACCATGCAGATCGTACGTCATAACATTTACAAAGTCCAGCGCACTGTTGAGTGTCGGGACGTCGTAGGATTCAGCAATTGTCGGCTCGTAGGCAGAAACTGCTGCAGAGAGAAGGAGCTGGGGGTTCCCAGACGAAGCGGCTTCAGATTCGATCGCCGCCCGGAAATCCGTGAGCAGGGCGGAGAAAAGGGCGGCGTTGCCTGTTGGGTACTCCCAGTCGATATCCAGACCGTCGAAGTTGTACGATCGGGCGAGGGCGATCGCGGATTGGATGAAGGCGGAACGAGAGGAGGGGGAGGAGGCGGCGTTGACGAAAGCTGCCAATGGAGAGGAGGGTCTTGATGGCGGGGTTGGTATCTTTCAGGGCAGAGTTGAAGCGCAGATAGAGACCCTCGGTCACGTCGACAGCTGGGTTGGATGGGACGACCTGTGAAGATGACGAGTGGGGAGAGAGAAGGTGTGGGGTTTGGGATGAATAGGGGTTGGCGGCCTTAAAGGCGGAGTGGGAGCGAAGGTTGAGACCCTGGGTGACGTCCACTGCTGGGCTGGAGAGGACGACCTGTTGAGGGTGGAGAGAGAGCAGGTGAGGGGTTCGGGGTTAACAGGGGTTGGCGCGGAGTTGAAACGCAGATAGTGGCCCTGAGTCACGTCCACTGCTGGGTTGGAAGGGACGACCTGTGTGGGAAGGGGAGAGGAGATGAGAGGTTTCGAATGAATACGGGCTGAGGGCCTTCAGGGCGGAGTTGAAAAGATAGAGGCCCTGAGTCACGTCCACTGCTGGGTTGGAAGGGACGACCTGTGTGGGAAGGGGAGAGGAGATGAGGGGTTTCGAATGAATACGGGCTGAGGGCCTTCAGGGCGGAGTTGAAAAGATAGAGGCCCTGAGTCACGTCCACTGCTGGGTTGGAGGGACGACCTGTGAAATGGGAGAGAGAAGGTACGGAATACTGAGTTAAGGATGCACGGAGCATGGTGGGCCTAAGCACGGAGTTGAGGCAGGAAATACGGTGTGATGAGCCTGAGATGGCAGGAAATACGGTGTGATGAGCCTGAGATGGCAGGAAATGGAAGTTGAATGTCTAAATAGCTGCACCAAATGGCACAGGGAAGTGTAAATGGCAAGACAGTACGGTACCTTGTGCGCTTCACACGCCTCCTGTACCTTGTGAGTGGTGCCGTACCTGGTATGTGCTGGCGTCAATTGCAGCAAAGGCGTAGAAGACATGGGTGAGCGAGGCAGCAGGGACGACGGATGGGTCCATGCCCGCCCAGTTGACAAAATACGCCATGCGATTCATCCCAGAAGAGGGCGGAGGGGAGCCGGTTAAGGGCGGAGGGGGAGAGGAGGAGGAGGGGGAGCACTGGGATTCGCAGCCAGGGCCGCAGTAATCGGGGGTGGAGCCGCACCATCCCCACTCGCTGCAGCAGAGGTTGTCGGCGCAAAGAGTTGTGGCGGAGCATTGCTGCGCGCGCGCGCGGAGGGGGAGGTGCGCGGACGAGAGCAGCAGCAACGCGAGCAGGAGGAGGAGGAGCGGAGACCGCGGCGAGGGCAGTGGTACTATGATCGCCATGATTGGAGGGTTGAGCAGACTCGCAAGGCTTTTGATGATTAGGAGAAGGGTGAGGTGAGTTACAATGGGGAAGTTGCAATGGGGAGACTGGTTCGAGTGGTGGTGACTTGTGAGACTTGATGGGGCAAGGCTGTGTGATATACTCTGATGGGAGAGCGAGTGGAGAGAGGAGCAGATGGGTTTGACGGGGAATGTATGGGGATGGCATTATCCATGGCCAATGCGGTGTAGAGCTATCGGCGATTCGGACCCCTGCCGACGCAAAGGGTTACGGGAATCCGAGTGAATCGGATGGACTTCGCTCCTCGGACCGCAATCGCGACTCGTCGCATTCGGAGAGACTACAGCGATTCAAATTCGGAATGCGGCTGCGGTACGTCGGTGACTTGGTATGAAAAAATAAAGAAAGGAAAAGTGCATGCGTCGGCTATGGCTGCGAGACCCGCGCGCCGCGTGTGTGTAAAAAGGGCCGAAATTACAACACACGTGCCGCTGACGATAGGATTCCTTCGCGGAAACACCCATGATCCGTGCCGACGTCGCGACTCGAAACGCGACAGCTATTTACGACACAATTATTGCTGCAAGGAAGAACACCGCCGTCACGAACGCCGACCTCTCTCGCACAGACGTTCTGGACAACTATCATTCGGACTGAAGTCTGAAGATTCTAGCTACATAATGCGGTTGGTCCGAGTTTGAGTGTTCGAGTGTCAAAACTGCATACACACACCCCAAATGCCGTACCGTGAAAGCGACGGGATTCGAGTTGGGGGAGAAGAGGAGAGGGCTGTCAGTCCACCAAACCCAAGTTGACACTGTCAAGAGTGTTCCAAGATCTCGGTTGAGAACGATCCAGAGGAGATCGAAACGGTTAATGCCACTTTGTCCTGGGGCTTGTTCACCTTTGTTCGGTAAGTATCGGTTGAGAGTGTGATTTTGTGGAAATCCGAAGGGTCATTTGTTTGAGAGAAATAAAATAATTCTGAAAACAATATCATTCCTCACAGGATATAAAAAATGATAGTATGTTAGACATGCAAATACATGACAATGTAGGCTTATGCTGAAATGCTATTGAACAAATGGGTGTGTGATATGTGATGTATTGTACGGACGCGCAGCGTAAATCTGTTATGTAGTGTGCTGCTGTATCTATTCTGTAGTGTGACGCGCAGTGAAAAATTCTCCCCCCTGTAGCTCAAGGTATCGATCACTCTCTCCTAGAGCCCTGATGCTGGTGTTAGCATAATGGACGGACAGCGGGGCACGCAGGGAAGGAAAGTAAGACATCAGAGGCAAGGGGACTAGTGGGGAGTGGCTGGGGGGAACGGAGAGAGGCAGGGGGGCAGATGGGGAGTGGCAGGGGGAAATGGAGAGATGCACAGGGGCATGTGGGGATTGCGGAAATAAAGAGATGCACGGGGCCACTTGGGGAATGGCAGGGTAGGCAGATGGGGTGGTGTGGAGGGGTGCAGCGAGGATGGGGAAATGAGGCAGGGACGACGGGAGCAGGGGAAGGGTGTCAGAATTATATTCTTATACCTGCATGTAGTTCTAGCTGTAGTGTAGATATTAACTTTATAGGTGGTGCACCTCTTTGTTTGCTATATGTACCCTAGTGCTATAGTGAACACCCATCCTCCTCTCATCTCTCGACCCTCCCTCCTTGGCACAAACTACCTCGACTCCCTTGGCCTAGGCTACTAAGCCTAGGCCCTCACTTGAACCTAGCCTTCACTGTTACTACTATTTTGACATGGTTTCAGAGCCTGTTAAGTCCTGGCCTGTGGGCCAGCCTCACGCTTCCGCCGATGTTTTTCCGGTCGCGTGCCTCGGGCGCGTGGCGATTATCGTTCTGTCCCGCGCCCGGGTGGCGCGTGACGTTTTTTCTGCCAGTCGCGGACCCGCCCCTGGCGCCCGCGACGGCGCCCTGAGCCGCCGCGGACCTGCCCCTGGCGCCCGCGACGGTGCCCTGAGCCGCCGCGGATCCGCCCCTGGCGCCCACGACGGTGCTCTGCCTGCCTGCCTGCCTGCCCGTCGTGCGCCCCGTGGCGCGCGACGGTGCCCTGCCTGCCCGTCGTGCGCCCCGAGGCGCGCGACGGTGCCCTGCCTGCCCGTCGTGCGCCCCGTGGCGCGCGACGGTGCCCTGCCTGCCCGTCGTGCGCCCCGTGGCGCGCGACGGTGCCCTGAGCCGCCGCGGACCCGCCCCTGGCGCCCGCGACGGTGCCTTGAGCCGCCACGGACCCGCCCCTGGCGCCCGTGACGATGGCCTGAGCCGCCGCGGACCCGCCCCTGGCGCCCGCGACGGTGCCCTGAGCCGCTGCGGACCCGCCCCTGGCGCCCGCGACGGCGCCTCTGCCTCACCTCGCGCCTGCCTTCGAGCAGCTGCCCCTGACTCACCCGCGTCTGCCCTCGGAGCAGCCGCCCCTGCCTCACCCGCGCCTGCCCTCGGAGCAGCCGCCCCTGCCTCACATGCGCCTGCACTCGGTGCAGCCGCCCCTGCCCTACCCGCCCCTGCCCTACCTGCGCCTGCCCTCGGTGCAGCCGCCCCTGTCCTTCACGCGCCTGCCCTCGGTGCAGCCGCCCCTGCCCTTCCCTGTGCGCCACCCCTCTGTGGCCGTGGGGCGGCTTCTTCCCCGCCACCTCCCCTCCCCCCCCCCCTCCTTCTTCTCCCTGCTGCGCGTGCAGCCGTGGGGGGGAGGGTATGGAGGTGGCGGGTATGGGGGTGATGGGTGTCTGTGATCCCCTTCCCCTCCTCCTCCTTTCTCTCCCACTGCTGCAGCTGCCGCTGGGGGGGGGAGGGTGTGAGGGTGTGGGGAGCCGGGGGAGTGGCACTAGGGACGTTGAGGAGTGTGCAGAGGGGCTTTGGGAGCATGGGGGAGGTTCCAGGAGGCAGCCGCCGTGAAGCCAGCAGCCTCACCTGCCGCCTCCCAACTCCTCCTCCTCACTGCCCCTCTAGTGCTGCCACTTGTCTTTATTTTGTGAACTTGCATCTGTTACCTTGCCTGCTGTTGCTGTTTTCTCTATCTGTGGTGTACCCCTGCAGGTTGTGTTCTGCACTTAGCTATTCCTGCATGCAGTTACGGGGGGATGTCAGAATTATATTCTTATACCTGCATGTAGTTCTAGCTGTAGTGTAGATATTAACTTTATAGGTGGTGCACCTCTTTGTTTGCTATATGTACCCTAGTGCTATAGTGAACACCCATCCTCCTCTCATCTCTCGACCCTCCCTCCTTGGCACAAACTACCTCGACTCCCTTGGCCTAGGCTACTAAGCCTAGGCCCTCACTTGAACCTAGCCTTCACTGTTACTACTATTTTGACAAAGGGGGATGGAGAGGGGGGAACCGTGGGTGGGGTTGGGGTGGGGCGGAGGAGTCAATAGGGTGAAACAAAAAAAAACAAGGGGTTTTGAAGAGGTGGCAGGGGAAAAGGTAGCAAGGGAGGCTCCTAAGGGAGAAGGAGTGAGGGAAAGAGAGAGGTTACCCGACAAAGGAGTATGGGGGAGGGGGGGCGAAGCAGGGCATAGGCAAGGAAAGACTGGGTGGAGCGAGGAGTGAATGGAGGAAAGAATTAGTTACCCGGCGAAGGAAAGGACGAAAAGTCAGTTGTTACCGTATCTTCTGAGCGGCAACACAAGGAGGCGCCTTTGAGGTGCCTCAAAAGCCATAATCTAACAATTACTGTTTCTTCCAGCGGGAACACCATGAGAAGTTGCACCAGCCCATGGCCCACGCCCCTGCAAACGTGGCAGGAGTGCGAGGGGTGGGAGGGAGAAAAGGAGGAGAGGGGGAGGGAAAGGAGGAGGGAGAGGAGGGAAGGGAGGAGTGAGGATGAGGGAGGGAGAGGAGGAGGGAAATGAGGAGGGAGGAGGAGGGAGAGGAGGAGAAAGAGGAGGAGGGAGGCAAGGAGGGAAAGGAGGAGGGAGAGGAGGAGGGAGGGGAGGAGGGAGAGGAGGAGGGGGAGGAGGAGGGATGGAGGAGAGAGAGGAGGAGGGAAGGGAGTAGGAAGGGGAGGAGGGAGGGGAGGAGGGAGAGGAGTAGGGAGGGGAGAGGGAGAGGAGGGGGAGGAGGAAGAGGGGAGGCAGGAGCAATTGTTTTACGTGTCAATACAATGCATGTAGGATGAAGGTAGTAAGAGGGAGAGACATGTGCATGCATGCATGGGAGGGAAAGAGGGAGAGGTACATGAATGGGGAGGAGAGGAAGGGACAGTTAGGTGCATGCATGCTGGGAGTGGGAGGGAGAGGTAGATGCATGCATGTAGCGTGACACATACGTGCTTGAAAGAAGCAGAGGAATGCAAAGACAGCATGCAAGCAGGGCGTACCAAGGAAATCTCCCTTGACGAGCGTGCTTGTATTGAAGGGAATGAGCAGGATGAAGCCCCTGAAGCAACGGGTGTGCGGGGCCAGGGCGGAACCCACCTGAAGCAAAAGGGGCTGTGTGATGTTTCTTTTAGATGCCTTGAAACGAGGCGACTTTTGAGTCATTTAAAATAAACTTCACACGTCCCCTTTTGAGGTGACTTTCGAGTCAACTTGACTTTTGAGTCGACTTGACTTTTGAGTTGACTCAAAAGTCACCTCGTTTCGAGGCATCTAAAAGAAACATCACACAGCCCCTTTTGCTTCAGGTAGTCGTCTTCATTTTGAGCAGAACCACCACCAGAGGCAAAGGGCCCGTGAGTGAAAACGAAAGAAAGAGAACGGACGGAAATCCCTGAGCGCGTAACAAAGAGAAAGTTGGTGCATCTCTGGAATAGTCCCTTTCAAGAAAGAAAATGCACGGAATTATCTGAGCGTTGAAGCAACGGATGCGAGGGGTGAAGGCCAGGGAAGCGACAGGGCTCACTGTGCTTGTGTGAGAAAAGGGAGAAGCAAAGTGAGAGAGCAAGGGATGTGGCAAGTGAGAGGAGAAGAGAGGCAAAAATGGAGAGAAATGAGAGTGGAGGAGGAGATGACGAGGAGAGGAGGAGGAGGGGCGAAAGGAAGGGGGAGAGAGGGGGGAGGGGGGGAGGGGGAGAGTGGTAATGTCTCAGACGACTTTATGTTACACGAATGTCGGCGTTAGTTGTGGGGGAATGGCGATACCGAGACCATCCATGAGTCCCGCCGCCGCCAGCAGCGGCATGGCCAGCCCGATGCACAGCCCGCCAATCGCGCCGGACGAGAATGCTACCGCAACGCCGAGAAATACAGGCGCGAGTTTTCTCGTGAATTAGTAAAGCCACGGCGGAACGCGAGGAGCTGAAAAATCGCAGGTAGGAAGAAACTCGCGGTAAGTAGGACCCTACGCCGACAGTTCTACCAGCGTTCAGCCCAGACGCTATTGAAATAGCGGCGCGCTGTGCCCAAAACACACAAAGCTGATGCTTGATTGAGGGACGAGGGACTGACTGACTACCAGTCACCTACCGGTACCTGAAGCGCGCTGGAGCTGCGTTTAAATGCAGCCTCGCACGGCGAGACGACATGAAAATCGGCATCTGTGGTGAATTGTGGACAATTGGCCACATTGCGCTTTATTGCAAAGCTGCTTTCTGTTGACAATATATGGTTGAAAAATAAGAACGTCCTAACGGACATCCGTTAAACTTGGAACAATACAGAGAAGATTAGCATGGCCCCTGTGCAAGGTGTTGAGATAATATCGAGACTTAAGCACTTCAAGGAATTCGTGTAGTACAATTAGTACAGTGCGAGACTTCGCACGTAATAGTAAAGTACCGATAGGCTGACGTCAGCAAGCGCTACGCGCCCTAGGATGACGTCAACACGTAGCTATAGGCCTCGCGAATAGTCACGTACCGTTTCAGAACAGGAATAGCGTGAATAATACAGTACAGTAGGCGAACAAGTACTTTACTCTAGCTATATATTATGTGTGCTTGTCATTTTATAATATATCTGATTTCAGAGACATAGATCCTGAAACATATCACTACATGGCCTTTTATTAGTCCAGACAAAGCCTCCTATAACTGGCTTTAACTCATACAAGACTTCCGCTACGACAGGAAGCTACCATCCTAAGTATACGATCCTACTCAATCATTTCAAATTCTAACATGGTATTGCGAGCGTCTTAGGATTCTACAAGCTTCCAACTACATACTCTGCAACTATGTCTGGCTCTCCACGATCCAACAACGGCTCTTCTGTTACGAGCCCATCACGCCCAACAGCGTCTCCAGCTGCTAATAATTCTTATCTGCAGCAACAACATCAACAACAACAATATCAGCAACAACCGATGTACGGCATGCCACTAAGCAATCAGTCCGTACACACAACCGCAGCAGCGGCATCATCGGCAGCACCCGCGGCAACAGCGGCATCAGCGGCCACAATAGCTGCAGCTGCAGTAACTGGTTCTACTAATCAACCAGGACAACAGTCTAGTTTCGTACCGACTAGACCATATCAATATCAAGGTGCTTACTGTCGGAAACAAGAAGTGATTGAACTATGAAAGGTGGGAGTACAAGTATGAAACCCTAGAGTTGTGTACCCCCTAAAGGCTAACCCACTATAGCCTACACAGCAATAACATATAGATAATGTTTGACACACCCCCATAGGCAAAGTGGGGAGAGCAAGGGGTCACAAGACCAGTCAAGAAAGGCAAAGCAAGCTCAGGGTGGATCACAACGTCACCACACAATCTGAGCACAAGCAAAGGGCCACAGGGCCAGTTCAAATGCAGAGGCATATATACAACAAAAAACAGCAAAGTCATCTCAGCCTAACAAAGCAAGCAGGTATATGTATATAGAGATCACAGTACAGACAAAGCCTACAGTAAGTGAGGAACAGTGGGCACAAGCCCCAGTACAGTACAGAAGCGCTGATGATCACCAGGCTGAAGAGCCTTGGTGAATATATCAGCGGTGTTGGCCCGAGTGGCCACGTAACGCAGACAAAGCTGACCGCGCTGCTGCAGCTCTCAAGCCAGGAAGTAACGGAGAGCGATGTGCTTCGTTCTGTGCTCCAGTCTGTGCTCTTGACACAAGGCAATGGCAGCCTTGTTGTCGACGTACAGCACTGGAGGAGAACTAGGCCGCTCTCCCAAGTCGGTCAGCAGGTAGGTCAGCCAGCGTAACTCCTGTGCAGCCATGGCTGTGGCGTAGATCTCAGCCTCACAACTGGAGCTGAGAACTGAAGACGAGCGAGTAGAACGCCAAGAAACTGAACCAGAGCCAAGGCTGAAGGTGTAACCCTGTGACGACCGCTGAGTAGCCTGGTCGTCAACCCAAGAAGCGTCTGAGTGCCCAGTGAGAACAACTGAGCGCCTCCCTCCAAGCACGAGCCCCATGCCCGATGTACTGCACAAGTAGCGCAATACCCTCTTTGCAGCATCCCAGTGCACCTTTCGGTGCCTGCCAGGAGCCACATAACGGGCCAGAAGGCCAAGAGGGTATGCTAGGTCAGGACGAGTGCAAGTCATCAGGTACATGAGGCAACCAACTAGCTCTGGGTAAGGACCACTCGGCTCTACGGACTCATCCGAAGGCAGAGCTGAGAGCGAGTGACCTATATCCAGAGGAGTGGCCTGTGCTGAGGACCAGGTGAAGCCGAAGCGCTGAAGGACCTGCTGCACCATGTGTGACTGAGTCAGTGTGATGGTGCGGCGTGCTCTGTCCCGGGTGATCCACAAGCCAAGATAGCTTGTTAGCTCATCCAGGTCTGTGCATGTGTGTCTCTTCTGCAGCTCCGACTTCACGTGGGCGAGAGCCTCAGTGTCAGCAGTGGCAAAGACCAAGTCGTCGACGTACACGAGGATGTAGAACGGCGACAGTGAAGTGTCGGTGCGCAGAAACAGCGACGGTTCGGCAGTAGAAGACGAGAACCCAAGAGCCGCAAGTGTAGTCCTCAGTGTGTCGTGCCACTCACGTGGAGCCTGGCGGAGATCGTAGACCGGCCGCCGGAGGCTCCACTGGGTACCAGGAGGGAACGACCGAGTGAAGCCAGGAGGGCGGCGCAGCCAGATCTCCTCGTGCAGGCTGCCCTGCAAGAAAGCTGTGCTGAAGTCAAGAGAGTGAAGCTCGTATTCACGCTGAGCGGCAACGTGCAGCAGCACCCGAAGAGTGGTCATCTTCGGGGTGGGGGAGAAGGTCTGAAAGAAGTCAACTCCCTGTCGCTGACTGAAGCCTCGAGCAACGTACCGAGCCTTGAAGACAGGCGGAGAATCTGGCGGCCGCTTCACCCTGAAAATCCACATGCCACTGACGATGTTCGCCCCAGGAGGGGGAACCTCGTCGACGTAAGTGCCAGTGGACTTCCAGGATGCCATCTCTACATCCATGGCTGTCTGCCACTGAGAGGAGTACTCACCCGCGATCGCCTCAGCGTAAGAGCGCGGGGTCGGGATGTCTGGAGCATCCGGGTCTCCCTCAGGTGCAATCAGCATGGACACGAGATGAGGTACAGCGGCTGCAAAGCACTCAAACTCCTCCTGCCTTTCCTCAAGGACGTCCGTGCCAAGAGCACACTCACCCCCGACGGACGGAGGACAGACAGACTCAGACGCAGCAACAAGACTGGCCGCGTAGTCTAGTCTACAGTGAGCAGCAAAGTCGACAAGCTCAGTAACTAAGGCAGACGCAGCAGCTGACTCAAAGGAAGGGTCAGTGACAACTGTGGACAGGAGACGTGTGACAGCAGGACTAGCAGCACGAAGAGAGTCAGACTCTGGGTCAGCAAAAGCAGGAAGGGAGGACGCAGGAGGAGAAGGCAGAGGGACACGCCGTGGAGCAGTGGAAAGACGAAGCAGCATCTGGTGAGTGCCGGGGATAGCAGGAGGACGCTGACGCGGGACACGACGACCAGGGCGAGCAGTACGAACAGGTGATGCAGAACGAGACTCAGGCGACACAGGACGAGACTCGGGCTCACAACGCTCCATAAGACCTCCTGTCGGACCAGTGTAGGGAGAAGGACCAGGAAGTGGTGAGGTGGGCTGTAACTGTGACTGCAACCGGACAGGCGAAGGACACTCTAAGGAGG